TATATATTTATATTGTATATAAATATATTTAATATATAACCATAAAATATTTTTCTGAAATATATACATGTATGTGTGTGTATTTAAATAGGCTATACATGATAAATATACACAGTACACACACATATATTACGTAAACAAAAACTTTTATTTTGGATGTGATTAATTGCGATTAATCGTTTGACAGCACTAGTTTCTACAGAATCGACTGGATTTTGTCTGTGAAATTTCGCAGAGCAATGGTAAATGTGATTCACTATGAGCTCAGTTCACAGATTTGATTTAATCACAATGGTTAACAGCTCACAGGAAGAGATTATCAGTAAATAATAAATTGGATTAGTTGGCTTTGGTCCCGATACATTGCAACTGCATGGAAAAGGACAACCAGCAAAGTCTTCACAATATGTTTTTGTGTTCCAATAAAGAAAGAAATTCTTACAGGTTTGGAACAGCACGAGTGAAGACAGAATTTCCAAATTTGGAAGAACTATTCCTTTAACGTCTGCTTTTATTTTATATGTAGGTATAGAACACCCAACCGTGTGAATGGCAGCACACTGAAGCCACTAATGAAAAAAGCTCTAGGGCAGAAAAAAGCCCCTTGGACATAATCCCCTCGCTTTTAAATGCTCTCTGCCATATGTTCCTTCTCTCAGCCCCAACACTCGTCCCACACACTGAGAATTCACAACACGGTAACACCCTAAAACAATGAAGAAGACCAGCAACATGTCATATAAACATCAACCATTACCACTAATAAAACTTTTATAACAAGAAAGTGAAATTCACGCACTCTCATAATATTGCTAGCCAGAATCTCTGGGGTCTCATGGCAAAACGCCAACCTTTATTGATTTGTTTGGGCATTTTGAGCTAGTCAGGAGCCCTGCCATGGCCAAAAAACATTAGCATTTTGTGCTGAGGGGGAGAATAGGCAGTTAAATAAACAAATGCTAATGCAGACAGGCTCTGCAGATAGTCAAGGAGATAAAAGAGCAAGACGTGATAGCAGCGAGGACGTTCAACAGCCCCATCCTCCCAGACAGAGCTTCCTTACAGGGAGGTGATGAGGTCTTTCATCTTTCCCGGACTCCCCCCCGGGATAACATCACCCAACTATTGTGTCTCCGTTTATGGCCTTCTCTCTTACAGACAATCCCATCTCTCTCTCTGTCTGTCTGACTTACACATCTTTCTGACACTCTTTACACACACTACACTTCAAATAATGAAGAATTAGCTAGAAAATATCACAACTGTGACACATTTGTCCCCTCAATTTTACGTCAAATTGGCCCACCAAATGCCAATAGGGTTACTGACCTAACAAAAGCCAACCACTGGACATCAAAAACGTACTTTTTGATAAAAATTTCTATTTAAAATAAATGCTTTTGAACTTTCTATACATCAAAGAATCCTGAAAACACTGTATCACAGTTTTACAGAAATATTAAGCAGCACAACTGTTTTCAATATTGATAATAATGATAATGTTTCTTGAGCACCAAATCAGCATATTGGAATGATTTGTGAAGGATCATGTGACACTAAAGACTAGGGAAAATTCAGCTTTGCCATCACAGGAATAAATTACAATTTAAAATATATTAAAACACAAAGCTGTTATTTTAATTTGTAATAATCTCTCACAATATTACTGTTTTTACTACAATATTACTATTACTGTACACAATATTATTTTGATCAAATAAATGCAGACTTGGTGAGCATAAAGGACTTCTTTTAAATGCTAATTAAAAAAATATTACTGACGCCAAACTTTTTAATTGTAGTAGTGTATAAATAATATATAATTTTATCTACTATTTTAACTGTGGTATTTTGCAGAAAATATTCCTACCATTTAAAATTTTTCTTAAAGGTATAAAATTTCCCTTTTTAACAATCACAAAGTCTTATTCAGAAAATTGCAGTTCAACTAGGTGAAGAGATACACATAAAAATTACAGTGGTGCAAACCACATTACAGACATTTGGACAGACTCTCTCTATAAATGGGCATCTGAAGATTTGAAACAGAAAGAAAGCGCTACTTTCACTACTTTTTCCTTCTCTAAAGAGGATGGAAGAAGGGGGTGGATGGCTTTAAAGACTTTTAGCCTTGGGAGGTGTATGTGTAAGTGGGGGCTGGGGTCATTCCACGCTCCACACATACAATAAAACCAAGCAGATGACCAGTAGAAGAGCTGGAAACGGAGAGAGGAAACTTATTGAACGTTGTTGTTGAGCAGGGAGTGGGTGACACAGCAGGTCTCTGCTTCGCCTCTGCCCACTGCCTCTCTCTACTGGCACACACACACACACACACACACACACACACACACACACACCACACACACA